TACCAGGAATAAGCAATCAAATAGTGCCTTTTCTTAAAGGGCTCAAAGCCCAGGGATTCTAAAATGAAACCACCACACACTAAAAATTGAATTATTCTTGCTTCAGTAGATTCTTTAAATGTATTCTATTTCTCTTTAAACATGATAGATTTTTACTTGATTTCAAAGGGATTGGTTTAGAGCAGGGCAACCTGCCTATATCTAAGTTACCTGACAAATTAAACTATGTAATCAGTATGCCTAGAGGGTTAAATAAAGAGACTTTGCTGATTGTCCTGTAGATTTCAAGTAAATTGTTTGTGCCTATTATGACCTATTACATGATCCTGTGGTAAGACACTTTGTCTTCTTGACACTCAGTTTTCCTTTAGGTAAAATGAGGAAATTGAAATGCATCGGCATTTCTCAAATAACACCATTTTGTAAAGCAATACCATATCTGCATTCTCCAATTTAGATATAGGAGTAAGGAAGTTTAGGAGAGGTCTTTATTCACCCTCCCAGAATAGGCATAAATAAGAGAACGTAGATAGAAGATGGTGAAAACTGGATTGCGAGTAATGGGATAAATGACCTCTAAGATATTCAGCACTAAAGCTCTGTGATGTCATGTATTTCACTGAATTTTAAACTTACTGAATTTATAAATTAAGATATTAATTCCTCTTATATAACCGAAAGCATATTTAATACATAATATGCTAGTTCTACTATTGAAGCCTAACTTTATTAGGCCTTACCTAAACTACGGTGACAAAAGGGACCTAAATTCCTGGAACTTTAAATGTGTACATTTATCCATAAGGAATTCTTAGACACTTGAGTCACTTTATAGTTTGGAGAATCATAAACTTACAGACATGTTGGAAATACAATACAAAGAACTTATTTTTTTGAATGATTTAATTAATTAAGAATAATATGCCAATCTGATACATGCCCTACTACTGCAAATACCGTAGTATATCTTTTCTGCAATCAGGGTCTTGTTTCTAGAAAACCATAACCATCAAAATTAGGAAATTAACATTAATGCATAACTATAATTCTCACGCCCCTTTCAGCTTTCACCATTTGTCCTAATAAGGTTGTTTATAGCAAAAGAATGCAGTTTAGAATCTTATGTTGTCATATCTCTTTAATCTCTTTCAGTCTGGAACAGTTCCCACATCTTTGCATTATTTTTATGACTTTAACATTCTTGAAGATGACAGACCAGTTAGTTCATAGAATAGCCCTCAATTTCTGTTTGTTTCCTCATGAGTAGAGTTAGTTTATATGTCTTTGGCAAGAATATTACAGAAATGATGCCTTGTTCCTATAATTGAATTCTATCAGTTCATGATTTCAGTTTATCTCATTACTGGTGATGTTCACTTTGATCATTTTATTAACAGTTTCTAACAAGTTTCTCTATTGGAAAATTATTCTTTTCCCCTTTGTAATCTGAGTATTTTATAGAGAGGTACTTTCAAATTATGTACATATTTTATTTCTCATCAAACTTTTAATATATTCATTTATATCAGTATAGACTCTTAGTTTCGTATTTTATTCAATGGATTAAGATCTATGACTATTGTTATTTATTTTGATGCTCAGATTATCTTTGGTTTGGCCAGGGGGAGTCTATTCAAGCTGATTTCTGAGTCTTTGGGACATGTCTTCATCATTCTTTCAGCATTTTCTTGCTTTCATATTAAAACAAAATGTGCCAGGATTACCCTGTAGTTTACCTGACCTTCCCCTGAAACAAATCATTTCTCTATGTTACCCTGGTTCTTTTTGGTAGAAAATGGTATGTAGAAGAAGCCAAGATCTGGGCACTGTTAACTCATTACTGTTGCGGTGTCACTGCACTCAGACCCTCTCAATAGTCAGAGCTGAGGAAAATACGTAGATATTTATATATACACAAATATATATACACATATTTATAATTATTTTTATTTCTCTATCAATCATGTATATTGAAAACCATGAATTCACATTACCTTCAATTCAAAACCACAAGGTTCCTTTTCATATTTACGGTTCTTTCCTCTTACAGTGAGAAATATTAATTTCTTTATCCTTAATATATTTACTTATTCGATAAATTACCCTATGTATAAGCAGTCCACCATTCTTCTGTCGCACCTTCCTTCCTAATGTGTTTGCTCTCTTTTCCCTGCTTGGGCTCTGATATACCTTAAGCTGGGTTCTTCTGGGTCGCTCTCCTCACCCTACTCAACTTCTGATTCCTCACAGTAGATTGCCCTCCACCTCATGGGGATGCCCTATTTTCTCTACTCAGTCTTGATAGTCCTGTTCTGAAATGCTGCCACTGTGACCCCTTTACCTCTTCTCCATGGACTCCTATCTTGCCCTACCCCACCTAATGGATCAGGACTGAGTTATTTAGGAAGCGAAATGGGTTAAATGTTTTTAACATAGTATTTTGAGGGACTTTATTCCCCAGTAACATAAATCCAATTAATGGAAAACTAAAGTTTACTCTAAAGAAATGTACTTTACAGTCAACTTTTCATAAAATTTTTCACAAAGTCGGGGAGAACTATAATAAAACATTTGCGCTTTATGTTTGAAATTGCCTTCTATAAAGTAAAATGAAAGAATTTGGTAAATTTGCTCTAGATGTATTAGTTCCCCTTTCCCTAGTAGTAGCTGTATTAGTGAGGGTAATGAATGAAACAGAATCTATAGGAGATGTATGTATGTATCCGTGTGTTTGTGTATGAAGATATTTATTATGTGGAATTAGCTAACACAAGTAAGAGGCAGAGAAATGCCATAATATTTACTCTGGGCATGTTTTGTCAAATCGACATATAAAATTAACCACCACAGTAGAAGATAATAAATTCAGGATGGGAGTTCAGGATCAGAGAGAAAAAATGTTCTGAATTTTTTCTTTTTCTTTATTTTCTAGATGACCTCTACCCTTTTTCTTTTCTTTTGTCTGTATGCCTTAAAAAAATACTCTGATTTTACCAGTCTCATGTCTTTAAAATGAGATCTACACGCAGAAGACTTCAAATGTACATCTCCAGTCCCAAATCTAATCTTAATTATCTTTTGGATATCTAAAAGACATCTCAGACTTGACATGTTGAAAATCAAGTTCCTAAAATCGCCCTTTCATGAAAACTAATTTTTCTTTTCTTATTAATCATAACTTTCTTTTTCTTCCTGTTGCAAAGATTTTTTTCAGCTTCTCAGAATATATCTGGATTTTGACTACTCTCACGATAACACCCTAGTCCTCTTTCATCATCCTCTTTCATCAGGATTATTGCTGTAGTTTATAGTGGTCTCCCGGCTTCCACCTTTGTTCTCCTTTAGCATTAACTTAGCAGTGATCCTTTAAAGGAGTAAGTCAGGCTTGGAACTCTTTAGTGGCTTCCTGTCTCATTTGGTATAAAGCCTAAATCTGTATTAATGCATTTCAAGACCTACAGTGATTTGGCCCTCCCACTTCCCCTACTCCTACTCTTCTCTGAACTCATCTTTTGCTTTTCTTCCCCTTGCTTACTCCCTTACAACCACACTGGCTTCCTTGCTGTTCTTTGAACATACCAGACATTTTCCCACCTTAGGGCATTTGCACTTGCTGGAATACTCTTCCTCACTTCTCTCAAGTCTTTACTCAAAAGTTGCCCTCTCAGAAATGACTTTCTTGGCCATCCTTTGTAATTCCTTTCCCTGATTTATTTTTTTTCTTTAGCATTTATCAACAGCTAATAGACAATATACTGCTTATCTATATTCCCCAGAATTTTGAGCTGGACAGGATTTATTTTGGCCCAATAGCATACCCCCAATATCTACATCAATGCTTTACTTATAGTAATCATTCAATATTTGTTGAAGAAATCACACACAATCCATTACACCAAAATGAAATAAAATTATCAGCTTATTCAGGGAAGTGTGCTAAAAAATTTATTGCATAGGAAATGTGAAGTAACAACTGCATTTTTTCTTAAAATTTAACAAATATAAGCAGGTTTAAGAAAATGAGCACTCATAAATGGCCGGTTGGAGCTTGGAGTTTAACTTTGTCAACTACTTTGGAGAACTATATAAGAATTGTTAAAAGTCTATGAGAATGAACAGTCTTAGGAATTCTGCTTCTTGGAATTTATCCTGCTAAAATGAATAACTATAGAATTCTGGGTACAAGCACATTTATTTCAGAATAGTTTCGTAAAACTGAACACTGGGTAAACCTTACAGAAATGAGAGTGATTTGGTAAACTATGGTATAAAGAGTTTAATACTATGTAACCCTTAAAAAGGTATGTTATAGATTAATTTGTCATAAAAGTGTTTGTTATATAGTATGTAAAAACAGCACAAAATAGTATATATATTCCTCTCCCCACTGGTTCTCTTTTAAAAAAGTATAAATGTATAGAAAAAATAATCTGCTAGTACCAAAATATTAGTGATTGTTATTTCTGGGTTGTGAGATGATTTGTTTAAAACAGCTTTTTCCCCTGTGCTTTCTTCCCTATCCTTAATTTGTTTTATCAGATTTTCTTCAATAAAGAGCTAATATTAAGTAACAAACTCGCCTCAACTACTCTGACTACTCTTGCTATTCCTCTTGCTTTATTTTTCTTTGTAGTAGTTGTCACATTCTAACTTCTTTACTTTTTACTTATATTTTATTGTCTGTCTACCACTACTCCTGCTGGACATAAAGCTTCTTAAGAAGAGGAACTTAGTTTTGTTAACTGCTGTATCCCAAGATCCGGGGAAAGTGGCTGGCATATAGTAGGTGTTCCATAAATTCGTGTTGATAAACGAATGCATTGTTTTTGTTATGAGAAAAAAAAGTAAGGTAAATAACATTTTGAAAAAATGTCACCAGAAAAAAATAGTGCATGGAAGTTAAACACCATGTTTTATAGCATACAATTTTAATGTCAGGAGGAATTTGTAACATAATTAAAGAATTTTAATGAGATTTTTTTCCCCTTTGTTTTTTCAAGGTTTCTAAATATTCTTTACAGAAGAAAGTTAGTGAAATGGTAAGGAAATAACAAAATTTACACCTACCCCAGATTAATACATAATGTGCATACTATTTTTGTCAATATAAATATGACATTTATCGTAAACTAAAGTTTAAATTGGATATTAATATCTTCTTAAATGAAATTGTTTCACAAATTTATTTCCAGATTATATAGTGTTTACATATTATACAATAAATTTAACATAGTTCCCAAATAGTTGGTAGAAGTTTTATATTAAAGTAAAACAACACAGAAATAGGAACAAAACCTCTTAATGATATCTTTTCTAGGTATTTATGCAAACATGGAATTATTAATTATAGCCTGAAAAACTAGAATAATATGAAGTATCATTTGAATACAGCACTTGGGTTATGGTACCCACCCTTTGTCATTCAACAAGTGTTTATTTATTATTCATTCCTCTTCTATAGTATATTAAAAATTAATATTTGCATTTTTATAGCATAACATTTTATGCAATATTTACTTTGATATTCTCTTTTATCCCTATTTGATTCAAAAGGACTTTTTTCTTTTGTATTTTTGAGCAAAATTCTCCCATATTCACTTAAATATTCAGAGGGCTTCTTGGGTGGTTTACGCTATTTCACCCTTCTTTGGAGCAGACTGTAGGGCAAGTAAAATTAATTTTTGAGTAAACTTTATATGTTGTATAAATGAGAAGTAAGAAATGAGAGATTATCCTTATGATATTAAATACAAAAACATAAAGTATTTTCTTCTTGAAATTGTTTTGGTGTGTTAGAAAATAAAAGAACCATAGGAAGATTGTTAAGCTTGATTGAATAAAAGATGTGAAAATTCTGTCACTGTTCAACTGGAAAGAATAAAGATAATATTGTCAGACTGTTTTAAACTATGATTTTAATTAAGAAGCTGAAAAACTAGATTCTGGTTTAGCTCTAAGTACCATGACATTTGTACTGAAAGTCATCTTCAACGCTACAGTGGTTTTACACAAAATATAGTGAAATTGAATAATGTGTCCTCTGACCTGGGAGATAAGGCTACAAGTTAAAGATCAAAGGCAACATAAAATGGATTTTGTTTTATTCCACTTTAAAATTTCATCAAACATATTTATATCTTAGAAAAACATATGGAAACATGCAGTATATTTACAGTAGTTTTTGGCTATTTCTGAGCATTTGATTAATATAAATTACAGCCTGTTAAGAACCTACTAAAATGATATTTGAATTATACTTACATTTTTTCTGACAGTTCAAAGCATTTAATCCTTTTGCATTAAAATAATTTTATATATTGAGATGTACATTTAATATTTTATGCGCATTCCAGCAGAATAGTATATGTTTTAGTATATGTTGATCTTAAAGTTAAAAATAATCTTTTTTCTAAAGATTCTTACATTCTTCTTTTTACATTATTTTTATATAATTCAGATAACCTTTATTCAAAGTGCTATACAGTATTCAGTAATTCAGTTAATCTTATTTAATTTAAATCAGTACATTATTCTTTATATTATTTGATTCTGTGGGCAAGACAGAAAGCAAAATGGTCACTTGTGTCAAGGTAAGACTTTGGGGAGCAACTGATAACATTAAGTGTCCTAAAAAATAATTTTAAAAATAGCATTAGGAAACTTTTAAAGAAGTTTATGATCTTCAGTAGGCAAGCCCTTAACTACTAGTAAGCTTGTGTTTTTTGCAAATTCAATAAGCTCATTTTTATGTAGTGATTGATGGTATGTGTCTAGGTAAATTAACACAATTATGAATTGAGAGATTCTGTCTCTAAAAGTACCCAAACCTTCTCTTGAACGAATGATCACTTTGATCATTACCAAGAAAAAGAATGCAACAAAACATGATAAAGACAAACTATAGAACATCATATTAACTGTCATTGTGATTTGGTCACTAATGAAAATCTTTCTTGTGTGTTCCCATGAATTACTGTGTTAGTTGACTATGTTGTGTAACTGAGTAGCTAATAGAGCTTAATGAATAAAGTAAAACTATCCAACCATCTTTTAGCTATATTTTATTTCTTTTTTTTGTATATCACTTTCCTCTAAAGAAAAGACTTATAATAAAAGTTTATTTGTCTTTATTAAATTAAAACAAAGTTTCAATATTGAAGGTTTTCATATGATTTGGAGTTACCACATATTTTCTTTCAGAATAGAATATTTTTAGACTGAACACTTGCCTGGAAATAATCTTCATGATTATAACTATGTGTATCTATACACATAAAGTATATGTAACTTTAGATTTTTTAAGTAGTGTGTATCATATTTGTGACTAAAAAGTTTAAAGTATTTTAAAGATGCTATACTTTCAAAAAAGTGAGTTTTATAACCCCATTGATTTATTTTGGGTTCATATTGAAGAAATTGAAAAGTGGTTGTAAGTTGTAAAAAATAGAAATGAAGAATTATGATGTTTATTTTTGTATTTTTATCTTTTCTTCTAAAATACTTACAATGGATTAGTTGTTTTAAGGGAAATTAATTTTCTCTGTAAAGGTTTTCAAATCAATCTCCACAAGGAAATAAGAAAAGAGGGGAATGAGCAGCTATGCCATTGATTAGTAAATGTAGTTCTAAAAAGTTATGATCCCTATTTTAAATGCCTTGAGGCTATTAAGTAATCACACACACATACACGCCCCTACTTGATAATAATGCGTGTGCTATTTTTTCTCTATAATCCTGACTTTCATAGGTTGTGTTTGTTTCAAATGAGTTAAACATATATTTGGAAAGCAATGAATCCTGACAAAACTAAATTAGGGAAGCCAATGGGATTCATATATGAACACCCCATATGGGCCTGTATGGGCTAATGAGCTATAGATCCCCATGTAATTTGAAAGTCTTTATAATGTTTATTATGGCCATTGATAGGCTAATGTATTTGAAAATCAGAATTAGATCATGCAAACAAATGAAACTGCATTTTAATTGAATTCAGCTTTGGCCTCAAGCAAAGGATGTTGGAATAGGTATATCACAGATCACTCTAATGTGTGTAGAGCTCGATGTATGTAGAGAATACCTATGAAATCACTTGATCTTTGCTGCATTTTTAGTTAGCAGGATTGTTAACTGTTGCAGGCATTGACAGCCTATTTTACTCGCTGCTTTTTAACCGAAAGGTTAAAGAAGCCTGTATTAATACATAGGGGACAATATTTTATAAAGGCCATACAAAAATTGATTTGACTTGAAAAATCCCTTGAATTGAAAAAATGCCTTTAGACCAGTTTTCAGTGAAATCGTAGAGGTTTCTACACATCTGCTGAAAGTGAATATAATTGTCTAGATTAGAGAATTAAGTGATATTTTAGAGGAATGGATATGGTTTATTGTTTGGTTATTGATAATAGTGACTACCTAGGTAGGCATAAAATCTCAGAGGGTAAGTATACTTGCCAACTTGTTTGCATTTAACTGTTACACGATTAATTCAAATAACTAATTAGTAAATTTGTAAAGCCCATAGAAGTGCATGAGAAACTTTCAACTGATCTATCATAATCACTACCAATGATATTATCATTTTATTTAAAATAATTAAAATATATCTTTGAAAAAGTTAAAATTATCAAATTTGCCAAGATAATAGAGTTAGATACAACTTAAATTATAATGTGAGCTCTTTATTAATATTAGAAAGGGCTATTCTTATTTCAAATAAAAATTAAAACTATTGAAGTTACTTTTATCAGTTAAAGAATAATAAGAAGCATTATGTTGTACTTATTATGTGACAGGCTTTGTTCTTGGTGCTTTATCCTTACAACAACCCTATGAGTGAGATACTATTATAATCTTCACTTTAAAGACAGGCTATATGATTTTTCCAAGGTCACGCAGTAACTAAATTACAGAAGCAGAATTTAAACATAGGCAGACTAGCTTTTGACCATTCTACTATAGTGCCTGAACGTTGGTATTTAGCAGTACAAAGTGGCTCTGGTTAACTTATGCAAGTGGAAATTCTGTGGAGGCACTCACAATTAATCAGAGTGAAGAATGAGTTTGAGAATGAACAGGGACCAGAGTAATTCCAGAGTTTGTGAAGCAGGATATAGGAACCCAGGACAGGGGTCTCATATCAGTCTGGATAGGATCATCATTGAACTTCTTTAGTGTTATAGTCTTTTTGCTCAAGATTCAAATTCCTAAAAGGTAAAAATCAATTAGTTTTTTTGGGGGTAATATTCCCTTCGCTTGACTAGGGAAGAATATGACCCCTGAATTTTGTCCTACTAGATTATAATGAGGAAAAAATATTTCAAGTAAATACTCGAGGTTGTGGTACTGATGGGTAAGGGAAAAAGATGGCTAGACAGATCTAACAAATTTCCACTGTTGGAATTCTGTGGGATAACAACAGTTTATTAGAAAGCAATTACCGAGTGCCAGTCGATGGGACTATACTGTTCGCTATCACTGCTCATCATATAAGCTGAAGCATGTGGCAAAATGAATGAAAGTTGTGAAACCAATGATTCTGCTAATGCCAAATCAAGATCAAAATCTTTAAAAAATGTTATTCTATTAAAATAATATTTCTTTTGAAAATCTAAAGTCATATTTTTAAGTATGGTAAAAACAGTCTCCTTTAGCTGAAAGCAGTGAAGGCCCATGTTATACATAGGGTCCAATTTTTACTAATTGTATCTCTCAGCTTAAGTAAACTTTTTATTATACTATATTGCCTTCATGTCACTGACACATATTATCCTCATTATTTCATTTTTAATGCAAGGAGAAGGTGCTATGTTCATTAATATTAATCTCAGAAAAATTGCCCGAATTTTGATAATGCACATCATAATTAAGCCAGCAAATTTAGAGAAAAAAATTTCTTTCCTAAATTGCTTCAATATTCTCCTCACATTGCTTAGTGTTGGACTGTACTAATTAACTTTTCTATAAATAAAACAACCAGTCGATTTTTGAAAAAGAAACTGTAAACAAGGGAAATATAATGTTAAGTGACTATTTTGTTACAGGGGAAAAAAGTGCTTTAATTTTATATAGACTTAGAAACATCTCCTAATGTTTTCTCCCTATCGTGTACTCAGTAGTTTTTCATGACGTATTATGTTGATAACAATAATTATTAAGAACAACTTTATGTTTAATAGCTAAGCATGAATATATGTGTGTGTGTGTGTTATATGTATATATAACATTTAAAATAACTATTCAAATTAGGAACAAAAAGTTCAGTTACATCTTCTGGCTAAAGAAGATCATCAGAAGCAACTGAATGAAATTGAGAAATACTATGCCACAATAACAGGCCAGTTTGGATTGGTAAAAGAGAATCATGAAAAGTTAGAACAAAATGGTAGGTGCTATCTTATTTGAACTTATATATTTTATAGGAAATGTTTGAATGGACTTATCTATAATTAGTAAATTGAACTTAACTGATACTGGTAATAGTAAATGGCAGTTTAGTGAACATTATTTAAATTTGGTAATAATTGCATACGTTGCATTGAGGCTATTTTTCTTGTCCATGTTGTGATACTTTCTTTAAAATGTAAATTGAATATAATATTTTCCTAAGTGTTTTTATGTTGCAGTACAAGAAGCAATACAGTTAAACAAAAGACTTTCAGCTTTAAATAAAAAACAAGAATCTGAAATATACAGTTTAAAAAAGGTATGATTGATACAGTTTTATAATATTAAATAAAATTATAGTATAAAATAATTAGTTTTATGAAATATTACTAGAAGAAGTTGTGTAGGTTTTTTTTGTTATAAAGATAAATGTTTTAAAACATTCATAAACTTTTAGTTATGATTTCAGTAAATGAATTTGTTTTAACCTATTCAAAATATTGTTTCTTCAGCTTGTCACCAGTGGTGTGCATTTTTATGGTGACATGAGTAGCCTGTAAGCATTCACTACATGTCAGTCTCATTAGCATTCATTCATTCAGTATTTGAGTGACTCTGTGTGCTAGATACTATGTGACACTGAGGATATAAGTATGAAGAAAAAACATGTCCCTGCTTTTTTAAAGTTTATCGTCCAGTGGAGTTAGACATAAAACCATCACATAGATAAAATAATTTAAAACTGTTATATAAGTAATGTGAAGAAAATGTAAAGGATGTAATGACATTATAACAGGTGACATTACATTGGAGGTAAAGTGATGGGGAAGGACAGAGAATAATGTTTCAGGCAAGCAGAACAGCATGTGTAAAACTCTTTGAGACAGGAAAGAGTTTAGTATATGTGAGAAACTAGAACAAGTGTGGTATGGCTGGAGAATCATGAATGAAGGAGTGCATTGGACATTTATTGGTTGCTTACTGAGCATCATTATCCCTTTCTTCTTCCTAAACTCATCCAGATTTTTGATGTTTCCTTTAGAAATGAGCCCTAAATTGACAGAAGGCCATAAACATATTTCATTCCTCTGGCCATAATCATTGGTTCAGGAGTGGACAAATGCCCTTAGCTAGTGGTTATAAACCAAGAAAAATGTAACCTCATTGTGACTCTCAGTCATCCTACAACCCTAAGAAAACCAAAAGGAAGAACCTGACAATGTGGATGCCAGATTGGTGTGATAAAAGGAAACCTGTTCTTTGATGACATCTTTGAATCCTTGGATCGACCATCTTTTCCCTTTCCATACTTTTTCGATTATATGAGCCAATAAATCATCATTTTATTTAAGCCAGTTTGGCGAGGGCCAATGTAATTTTCCATTATTTGCAACTGAAAATATTCCCACTGTTTCGAGGGGAGAGTGGTATGAGAGAAAAGAGAAAGAGGCAAGGCCTTCTTTCTACAGAGAATGACCTTGTTTCCTTTCCTTACTCCCTTCAAAGCTCCATCTGAAATAATACCACTTCGAACTGCCTTTCTGTCACTGAGAGAATAAGTAGCTATTTAAAAATTATACTTACTTTGTAGTTATTTAATTTATTTGTCCCTCCAGATCCAGACTTATCCATCCTTCTCTTTGTAAGGCTTACCTATATGGATTGCATCAATGCTCCTGTATCTTCTTGCTTTCCGTTGAGTTGGTCCAGTGGAGAGCCTGGGCAGGAGGAGATGGGAGGAAAGAAAGAGAGTGAATTAGTATATTTATTCTTTCTGTTCCTGCCCTGTGAGGTGACTTCAGGGTGGCCTTGCCCCTCAACACATCACTGCTTCTCTCAGTTGGCCTGCTCTGCGTGATTGTTCTCTCTTTGTGTTTCAGTAACCTTGTCCTTTTGGGTCCAGGGGTGGTGTCAACTCTATTGCAAGCCCCTAGAACTTGCCCTGTTTCTTATGCTTCCTTTATATTGTATCCACACCTTTGCAAATAAACCATCTTTACATTACCCTAATTTATGTGTACCATCTGTTTTTTTGTTGGGATTCTGACTATACACTTGATTATAGTATAACATCAGTGAGGCTAAGGTTGTAAATTCAGTTTCCTTATAGGCTAGTTGATTCAGTACAGAGAATTTTCTTTTTCACAAAGATTACATCCCAAACCTCAACTAGCCATTTTTCAAATACATATTTTGGATTCAAAAGATAAATGAATATGAATGATGTTGTTCTGATACATCATTAATTTGAAAAAAAATTTAAATTTTGGGGTAGAATTTTCATCTTAATTCTAAAGGATTTTGTTTTTAAAAGGAGAAAAAACCCACTCCAAGCATTTATAGCTTTATGTGTACATCAGATTTCACTATTTTTATTTATTTTCTTTAAATTAATAAACTTTGTTTTTTAGAGCAGTTTTAGTTTCACAGCAAAATCAAATGGAAGGTATAAAGTTCAGTATGCTCTCTGTCCACTGCATGCACAATCTCTCTCATTATCAACATCCTGTAGTGGACTGGTTCATTTGTTACAGTTGATGAACCTATATTGACGCATTATTGTGCAAATTCCACAGTTTACATTAGGGTTCGCTCTTGGTGTTGTGCATTTTCTGGGTTTGGACAAATGTTTAATGACATCATTATAGTATCATAAAGAATAGTTTCACTGCCTGAAGATCCTCTGTGCTCTCCCTTTTCATCACTTCCTCCCCCACTAACCCTTGGCAACCACCAATCTTTCTACTGTCTCCATAGTTTTGCCTTTTCCAGAATATCATATAGTTGGAATCATACAGTATGGAGCCTTTTCAGATTGGCTTCTTTCACTTAGTAATATGCATTTAAAGTTCCTCTATGTTTTTTCATGGCTTGATAGCTCATTTCTTTTTAGTACTATTTATTGCTGTGTCTGGATGTACCACCATTTATTTATCCATTCGCCTACCAAAGGACTTCTTGGTTGCTTGCAAGTTTTGGCAATTATGAATAAAACTGCTATAAATATCTGTGTGCAAGGTTTTGTGTGGACATAAATTTTCAACTCCTTCGGATAAATACCAAAGAGTGTGATTGTTTGGAATGTGTAATAAGAGTATGTTTAGTTTTGTAGACCTGCCAAACTGTCTTCCAAAGAGACTGTACCATTTTGCATTCCCACCAGCAGTGAGTGAGAGTTCCTATCGCCCTACATCCTCATCAGCATTTAGTGTTGTCAGTATTTTGGATTTTGCCCACTTTAATAGGCAGATTGTGGTATCTCTTTGTTGTTTTGTAATTATCTAATGACATGATATTGAGTATCTTTTTATATGCTTATTTGTCACCTTTTATCTTCTGTCTGTTTTTTATTTGGGTTGTTCATTCTCTTATTGTTGACTTTTAAGGGTTCTGTGTATATTTTGGGTAACAGTCCTTTATCAGATGTGTCTTTTGTAAATATTTTCTCCCAGTCTTCGGCTTTTTTCTCTTTCCCTCTTGACATTGTCTGCGCATAGTAGAAGTTTTTAATTTTAATGAAGTCTAGCTTATCAGTCATTTATTTATTTATTTAGGTGAGGCAACCCTTGGTTGACCTCACAGATTGCAAGGACCTTGTCAGCTTACAATCTCTTATTTTTCTATTTTTTACACCTACAGCACCTGGTCTTCCTAGGTGGTCTCCCATCCAGGTACTAACCAGATCAGACGGGATAGGGCTTGTTCAGGGTAGCATGGCTGTAGACTCAGTCATTTCTTTTGTGATTGTGCTTTTGACATTGTATCTAAAAAGTCATTCTCATACACAAGGCATTCTAGATTTTTCTCCTATGTTATTTTCTAGGAGTTTTATAGTTTTTGTATTTTACATTTAAGCTTATGATCCATTTGAGTTTGTTTTTGTGAAGAGTATAATGTCTCAGTCTAGATTCATTTTTTTTTTTTTGCATGTGAAAATCCATTTGTTCCTTTACTATTTGTTGAAAAGATTATCTTTGCTCCATTGTGTTCTTGTTGCTCCTTTCTTAGATACCTGTGGACTGTGTTTATGTGGGTCTATTTCTGGGCTCTCATTTCTGTTCCACTGATCTTGTTGTCTTTTCTTTCACCAGCACCACATTGTCTTGATTACCGTAGCTTTATAGTATATCTTGAAGTCGAGTAGTGTCAGTCCTCAGATTTTGTTCTTCTCCTACACTATCGAATTAGCAATTCTTGATTCACTTCTCCATATAAACTTTAGAATCGGCTTTCTGATATCCACAAAATAGGTTGCTGGGATTTTGAATGGGATTGTACTGAATCAATAGATCAAGTTGGGAAGAACTTATATCTTGAAAATATTGGATCTTCCTATCCATAAATATGGAATACCTATTCATTTATTTAGCTCTTTGATATCTTTCATCAGTTTTGTAGTTTTTCTCATATAGATCTTACATATGTTTTCTTACATTTACACCTAAGTATTTCATTTTGTGTGGTGCTAATGTAAATGGTAATGTGTTTTTATTTTCAAAATTTTACTTGTTTGTTGTTGGTATATAGGAAAGTGTATATAGAAAATATATAAATTAGTCTCTGCCCTCAGTTCCTGGCACAAAGCTTCTAAAACCCTTGTAATTTCCTAAGTGATAAGAGTAGTAGGAGTACCTTTTCTAATGAGGTGACTCTGATGGGCTCCTGTATGGCTCCTGGCCACTGGAAAGACCAAGCCATGATTAGAAACTTGAAATTTTCATCCCTGCTTTTCCCCCGACTCACTTCTCCAGAGAGGGGAGACGGGCTGAAAATAAAGTTAATAATTTATCATGCCTATGTGAGGAAGCCTTCATAAAATCCTAATAGTACAGATTGCAGATTGGTGAACACATTCATGTACTGGGAGGGTGACACACCCAAACACCATGGGGACACAGGGGACCCTCCCATATCTTGCCCCTGTGTATCTCTTCATTCGGCTGTTCATCTGTATCCTTTAGCATATCCTTTTATAAACTGGTAAACGTGTTTCCCTGAGTTCTGTGAGCCGCTCCAGTAAATTAATGGAACCCAAGGAGTGAGTCATGGGAATTTCTATTTGTAGCCCATCAGTCAGAAGCACCTGGACTTGTGATTGGCATCTGAACTTTTCTTTTCAATCACACCCTAGAATATTAAAGATGACTCTTTTAAATATAAGGAGGAAAAGCTGTAATATGAAAAATTTATAGTCTTGAATCAGAGAACAGGTAGGACCATTAATTTTTATCAATGTAAACTTTAAATGCTAATTTAAATAACTACTGAGTAGTTGTGAATAAGCATGTTTTCACTGATATCTTTTTGGTCTATTTATTTTTTATTTAATATTTTTATCAATGACTTAAGTGATTAATTATTAATTTTGGTGACTATTAAAATATTAATTCAATTTTTATGTATGAAAAGATTATAAATGTCTCAAAAATTTACTAAATTATGTATGTCTTTTACTAAAGACATATGTTTCATCATAACATAATAGATTATTAAATTTCAAATGTATAGTTTAAGACTGGACCTATACATGGAGATGAGGCTCAGGTACATCCATGGAGAGATACCCTTAGTAAATTTATGTAAAGGGGTGAAGAATGTCTCTTTCTGAGTACAGGTGTAATTGTGTTGCTCATAAGCACACTTGCCATTTTTCCCTGGTCTTGGAGCTTAGGCCAGGACTACCTGAATGTACTGATGTGTCATGGATTGGTGGCCTCTGTCACCCTGAAAAGCACTGCAGTCAATGACAATGCTGCCAAATTTTTCTTGGAAGAGAGATTGTTGTATGGAAGGGTAAAGTGAGAGAATTTTATTTCCTTTGAGAGTTCCAAGTGCAAGTAGCTGAAAGGGTGAGAATTTAAAAAAATAAATTTTAACAGCTAATTTTTAATATTTTAGACATTCTAGGTATAATAATTTTGTATTTTATATTATGTAGTCTTGATTTTTAACTTTAAGAAAAGTTTTTTCTTTTTGATTTTCAGACACTAATTAAGTGTAGTAACATTGTTCAGTTATATCACTTATTTAAAACTTTTAATCATTAATTTTCCCAGAGATAATTTTTATTTTATTTTATACTGTTTTATGATTTGTCCAGAGCAGTTAAGTTATTGGTTTGTGATAAGATGGAATTTCTTTTCTCTCTCTCTCTCTCTTTTCCTTTTTTTTTTTTGGTGGAGCGAAGTTAAATAGACCAAACTTAGTGTTGGATTAAACGAGGTATTACATTGCTGAATGCTGGGTTCACTATTATGGCAATCATGAAGAATTCCCGATCCTATCTGTGAGCAGCATTCATAACCTCTGCTGTTTGTCTGAGTAAACGTCAGAGCACTCAAGGAGATAGTGATATTTAACAGACTACCCCATACCAGAAAGGGAGGGGTAAAGGAGAAAAGGGCACAATATTTATGACTCTAGGAACTATAAGTTGTAATTTAATGAGATCAAAGCATGTGCTGTTTATTTGCTGCCCTAACAGCTTTGAATAAAATGGTTAGAAAACAGACAATGTACTAAAAGTTGAGGATATTTAAAAGCTAAAGGGCTATAAAATCACGAGCATATTTTCAGTGGAAAATCATTTCATGGAGGTCTCTGATTTTAATATCATGCTCTTAAGATTAATTAATGTGTAAGAGAAAAAGACATATGAAATGATTAGTTTTTACTAGTATACCATATATATAGGGTTTTCACCCCTGCCTTCCCTTTCTCACTTTTCTGTTGTTTCATAACTATTATTGTCCTTTCTGATACTAGTTTCTGATCTAATATCCAAGATAGGTGCATGTGATTAGCAGAGCCTGGCCACGTGCTTATAAAGCTAGTATTTGGCATTTCTGGCTTCACGAGTGTGCAGTGGACTCTTATAATTTAGAGTTCCTGAAATTCAAAGGGAATTCAGATGCTGTGTAGTCAAGAGTGTGAGAATCAGATCCTTGAATATTTAATATAGTCAGTATACACAGAACAACAGTATGATAAGTACACACCAGCTCATAAGTTGTTATTTCAGGATTTTAATGTGTTTGGATTGTATCTGTTAAACTCAGTGGACATGTAACTTCACAAATTAAGAGTTCTCTTATATCGCCTTCAATTCTGTACTCTACAAAGATATTTTGTTATTTTTCTAAAATGCAAATTTCATGTTGTTCTACTCAGAATCCTTCAGTGGTTAATTCCTCATTGCCTGTAGGATAAAATGAAAACTCTTTAGTTTGGCCTACAGATACCCTTCAATATTTGAATCTTGCCAAATTTCTAGCTACAACTACTAATACTCCACTCCTCCCCCT